CAAATATGCATCCTGCCAGAAGACCATGTCCAAAGCCAAGGAGCTTTTAAGTGACAGGCTTGTCCATGAAATCAAAAAAAGGAAAAAAAGGTAGAAAACTCCCTTCTATTAAGGCCTGCCCGGTCAATGAGCGCTGCCTTCCACACAAAAACAGGTATAAAAGTGGGGGGGGGGGGGGCAAACCATTCCCCTCTCCCGAGGATCCAGCAAGTGACCATCTCTCCACATTCCCGCCCCCACCCCCACCCCCACCCTCTCGGCACCACAAAGCTCACGCACCCTGCAGCGCTGCCAAGATCCCCACGATGCCGGTCCCCGCACCCAGTTCGATCACCTTCTTGTCTCGGAAATCCACCTTTTGATTTTCGAAATAGTTGCACAGGCTCAGAGCCTAGAAGAGAAAGAAAGACCGTCGCGGGGATCGCTCCATATGGCAAAGGGCGAGCCCGGGTCTGGCGCTCCCGCGGGCCCGCGCCCGGGGCCGCCCACTCCTCACCGCATCCCACACGCGCGCGGCCACCCCGAGGCGGGACCCGAAGTTCTGCGTGATGCTCAGCACGTGCCCACAGAAACAGAAGCGGCTCTTCTCCGAGTAAGAGTCGGCGAAGAGCCCGACCTCCCGCGGGAACACCGATTCGGGCTCGGAGGCAGGATCTGGACGGAGGTCCGCCATCCGGTCCAGAGAGTTGGGGACACCGCCGCCGGCCCGGGGATCCCCGATCCGGAGCGGGGCGGGGTGGGGGACCTCGGGCCACGTCGGCTGCCCCGTGGCCCCGAGCCCCGCCTCCTGAGTCTGCCCTCCTCCCTGCAGTTGGACTTCCCGGACGTGGGATGAGGACCTACCCTCCCACTCGGGTCCCCAGCCCACACCCGCGGGACTCACTCCAGACCGCGCCGCTCAGACCCGGCAGTGTGGTCCGAGGCCCGGAGAGAGGGGAGCGGCGCGAGGATTCCTTCTGCCGTGGAAGGGGGGCCCCAGACCCCTTTTACCTGCGGGGTGCACGGGCTCCTGCCGCCGGGGTAGTCACCCAGAGAGGCCGACGCAGGCCAAGCAAAGAGGCGGGGCGCGGGTCCTGCCATCCGGCCCGGGACAGACTTGAGGTGCAGAGGCGCCGGCGGCACGGATCCCCTCGGTCCGCCCCGCCCCGCCCCGTCCAATGCGCGCTCTTGGGTCTTTAAGGGGCGGGGTCTGCTCGGACGTGCTTTGCGTCATCAGCGTGCGCCGCGGCCGCGGTCTCCACGTGGGTTCAGTAGAGACACGGACTGGGGATCATGGCGGGAGCCGAGGCCGGGGGCGCGGCCGGAGCCCAGGCCCCGCAGCCGCAGAAGCGCTACTATCGGCAGCGCGCTCACTCCAACCCCATGGCGGACCACACGCTGCGCTAGTGAGTGCGCGGGGCGGGGGCAGGGGCCGGGGCGGGGGCAGGGGCAGGAGGGGCGGAGCACTCAGGGTGGCCCCAAGCCGCCGCGGAGAGCGGTTGTGCTGGGAGGGTTCCTGGTAGCCCCGGAGGCTGGGCTGCGCGACGTCAGCCTTGGGGGTGGACCGGGCAGAGTGGGCGGTGGGCGGGGTGCGGGTGGGAGGGGGCGTGGAGTCTGGGTTGAGGTGCTAGTCTGGCCGGGGAAATGGTCACTGAGACAATTGTCAGTGATGGCGACAGCATGCCTTTTACATCGTAAGGTTTCCTTTGTCGGATTTAATAAAAAGACAAACACCCAGCCGGCCTGCATCTTACTCCATCCTCTTCACCCAGAGCAAAGTAAGATCCCAGCGCCTCCAGGAAGCCAGTCTCTGGGAGAAGGGGAACTCATGCCCAGCCAGTCATCAGCCCCTAGATATGGGGATGGGCGGGCCTCGTGATGGGCCTATGATTCACAGGGTGGTTTCCACTGTATCTCCTAGAGGCCACGGGACCCACTGTTACAGAATTGTTTAGAAACGCTCCCATCTACTTCCCATCCTTACCCATCCACCCACGCACATGTAGCGACACTGCTGCAATAGTATGGCCAGCCTCCTCACGTTCCTCACGTCTTCTCTCCAATAGCCCTGTGAAGCCAGAGGAGATGGATTGGTCTGAGCTATATCCAGAATTCTTCGCTCCACCGACTCAAAATCAGAGCCACGATGACCCGAAGGATAAGAAAGAAAAGAGAGCTCAAGCCCAAGTGGAATTTGCAGACATAGGCTGTGGCTATGGTGGCCTGTTAGGTAACACTCTGTCTGGACAAGGAAAGGCAATGCCTAGGTTCTGCCACTTCAGCAGATTTGGTGGGGGCCATAGTTGGCCTTTCCCCTTCGGACCAGACACGAGTGCTGTGACATCAGAGAGGAAAGTCTCCACTTTCCATATACTCTGGGTCTGTGGCCTTTGCCCTGGAGAAGGGAGGGGGCTGCCTCAAATGCCTTTTCAAACTTGGGTTGTCCTGTCTGGCCTGGCCCCTGGCCCCAGTCACTACGTGAACCATTTCATCTGCCAAGTGCTGGGTCAGTGAGCTGGTCAGCACAAGCGTCAGAGATTAGCCACTGTGGCCAGTGATCCTGAACTGTCTTTCTCAGGGATTCCATCACTCCCCCCTCCCTCACCAGAACTCATTCCTTCTGCTCCACTCTCCTGTTTTTGAGTTCCTCTAGTATTCTTTGTATTGCCCCCATACGTGCTTGCTAAGCCACTTCTCTATTTTTACATCTTCCCATAGAGATAATGACATGACAAAGAGGAAGAGCATGGTACTTGGTGGCAGAAAGCTTTGGTTCAAGTTCCAGTTCTGTCTCTTCTTAGCTGTCTGACCTTGGACATTTCTTATCCTCAGTTTCCTCATATTCACAATTGACCACAGAGTTCTAAGAGGGTTAAATGAGAGAATGTGTGAAAGCACTAAAGCACTTGCAAATATACATGTCTTCCCAGGCTCTCCAACTTCCAGTCCTGGTGACAGTTTTAATATCTCCCCCAGCCCTCTACTCCAGTGTAAAACCATCCATATAGACCTCTCTGTCCACACTTGCCATTGCGGATATTGGTAGTTGCAGACTGAGGTTTCCTTTCCTGGACTGACTCCTTTGAAGTTCCTGTAGTATGAGGTTGATGATTCCATTCCTATTTCTGTGTCCAGTGGAACTGTCACCGCTGTTCCCAGACACACTGATTCTGGGTCTGGAGATCCGGGTAAAGGTCTCAGACTATGTACAGGATCGGATTCGAGCCCTACGAGCAGCTCCTGGAGGTGGCTTCCAGAACATCGCCTGTCTCCGCAGCAACGCCATGAAACACCTTCCTAACTTCTTCTACAAGGGCCAGGTGGGGAGGGGCCCTGGTGGGTTAGGCTGGTGAAAAGGTGGGACATGGAGGCCAGGCTCTCACAACCCAGTTTGTGCATGTCTGTCTCACAGCTGACAAAGATGTTCTTCCTCTTCCCTGACCCACATTTCAAGCGGACGAAGCACAAGTGGCGAATCATCAGTCCCACACTACTGGCAGAATATGCCTACGTGCTGAGAGTTGGGGTGAGTTGGGAGTGGGAGGAAGGGTGGGTTGAGTGTCCTATTCAGGGACCTTCCACTAAGAATTCAGTGGGGCCCCAGCCGATTTGGCTCAGTGGATAGAGTGTCAGTCTGAGGACTGAAGGGTCCCGGGGTCGATTCTGGTCAAGGGCACATGCCCGGTTTGTGGGCTCGATCCCCAGTAAGGGGCATGCAAGAGGCAGCTAATCTGATTCTCTCTCATTATTGATGTTTCTCTCTCTCCCTCTCCCTTCCCCTCTGAAATCAATAAAAATATTTAAAAAAGAATAATTCAGTGGGAATGCAGCCCATCATCTTGCTGCTCAATTGCATACAGCCCCCCTGATTTTGCCTGTGCAGGGGCTGGTATATACTATAACTGATGTGCTGGAGCTACATGAATGGATGTGTACCCATTTTGAAGGGCACCCCCTATTTGAGCGTGTGCCTCTGGAGGAGCTGGTAAGTTGGGGGCCTAAGGGAAATTGTGAAGATACAGGCCTTTTCCAGACTGGTGTTATAGTCTTTGAACCCAGCTTAGTGCCAGGAAGATGGGATGGGAGTCTCAGGGCCAGGGGTGGTCAAGGACTTATTGGACCCTTCTCCCAGAGTGAAGACCCTATTGTGGGACATTTGGGCACCTCAACTGAGGAGGGAAAGAAGGTTCTACGCAATGGAGGAAAGAATTTCCCCGCCATCTTCCGAAGAATACAGGATCCCACCCTCCAGGTGGTGACCCCCAACCCTACCCCTCCTGGTCACTGACTGCTTACCTCGCTTCATCTGGACTCCTTCCAGGAACTAGAAAGAAGATCAACCCCCTGGACCTTCCCAGCTGAGACTGCTGGGGCTTTGAGGCAACAATCTCTCAGAAGTTGGGGGACTGCCCAGGGCAGAGCCCTGGTTTTCACTACTACCCTTGCCTCTTCCTCTCCTGCCCCTCCATTGCCAACAGGAAGTAGAAGAAGCTGACTGAGAAGGTCAGAAGACCTTGAACCAGTAGGGACATTTGGGAGGATTGGGGTCTTGCTCCTCCTTAGCACTTCCTTCACCCTCCGGGATCTCTCCTCAGCTGGAGTGAGGAATACAGTTCTCCACTGTCCATCTAAACGGCCTGCTAAGTTCAAATCACCTGTCCACTTGTGTGTACTTTGTAGTCCTGGGGTTAACAGATAAGTGGGCACATGCCCATGCTGCTGTTTCTCAGGGAAGGGGAGAGTGTGTATCATGTATATCCTCCCAGCCTCTCCCTGCCTAAGACTTGATCTGGGGAATTTATGCTGCCTGTATTGTAACTGTTCCTGAAGAGTCCCAGGGAGGGTGTGGGGTTGGAGACCCTCTCTTTTTTCATCTTGACCTTCCATTCCAGAACTTCTGGGCTGACTGGCTGACATAAAAGGACCCCCATCCTCAAGGAACAAAGATGAAGGCTCCGTAACCCATTTTACCCCATTAACTCACCTGCCATTTGCCCAGTGTCCAGTACAGGAGTTGGGGGAGATGTGATAGTGCAAGAAAATTCTGCTCACACAGAGAAGGAGCAGCTGATGAGCCAAGAATCTGAGGACAGCTACGGCTGTGTCTCTTCCCCGCTTGCTTCCTTTCCAGGAAGAGCTGGAGGGTGGGGAATTCCTGAGAATGGGCTGAGGGGCCTGGCCCCGAGAGGAAGTGGTGGGAATATCAGGGACTGACTCTATCTTGGTCACCTAAGTTTCACTAAATAGCCTTTCCCAGGAAGAGATCTTCAGGTTACGGGACTAGGGCACCAGCCCAGAAGGAGAAACGGAGGCAGACCTCCCCTCCCAAGAGGGTCATTGCCACATGAGACCCAAGGGAGCTGCACAGGCAGCCTCAGCCCCTCCTACTGTTCCTAGGTGCTAATCCCTGCACGGACCACTGGAAAGAGGATTGGCTGAGTGGCTTGGAGAGGGGGCGTCGCCACTACCTTCCCCAAGGGTTAAATAGGGGCGCAGACAAGATGCTCGGAAGCGCTGTATTTCCCCGAACCAGACCATGACCCAGACCCTCAAGCTCGCCTCCAGGGTGTTGCATCGTGCCCGCTGTGTTTTTGAGCTGGGCGCCTCACTGGGCTCCAGAGGCTCCGGCTCAGCGCCTCGGGGCTTGGCAGACATCCCAGGCCCCTCCACGCTGGGTTTTCTGGCCGAACTTTTCTGCAAGGGAGGGCTGTCGCGCCTACACGAGCTGCAGGTAGATTGGGACTCTGTTCCTGGGACTCCCGCGCTGGGGACACAGACTAGTGCAGATCGTAGGAGGGAAGGCCAGTGAGGACGGATGCGCATGAATTACAGAAAGACTAGTTGGGACTTGGGGCTTTGGCTCAAGCAGCACGCGGAGTCCATCCCGACACCCAGCAGAGGAGTGCATTCAGAAAGCGCCTTCTCCTCGCAGTGCGGAAGTCTGGAAGCCCGGTAGGTCCAGACAAGTGGGCAGGAGGCAGGAACGCGCAGGACCTTCCCCGGGCATTCGGCGTGTTGGGCTTAAAGCTACCTGCGCTCCTATCCTTTGGGCTCTCGTCCTGAAATGGAGAGTCCACGTGTGAACCTTTAGGGATTTTTCCACCGTGGCTTGGCCAAGGTGACCAAAGAGAGGTCCTGAATGTCTAAGCAAAGTCTTTCCACTTGGCCCGTCACACTCCAACTTTCTAGGGATGGAAAGAGGGGGAGGGTTTTTTAGCATTAGGTCCATGCCCCAGCTGGGAGCTCCCCCTTCCAAAGCCTGGTTGGCGTTGGCACGGGCCAACCTGGGAGTCCCTTTGCCCATGTCTCCGGTGTCGCCGCGCCCATTCTCCCAGGTGCAGGGCGCTGCGCGCTTCGGTCCTGTGTGGTTGGCCAGCTTCGGGAAGGTGCGCACGGTGTACGTGGCGGCCCCTGCACTCATCGAGCAGCTGCTGCGACAGGAGGGGCCCAGGCCCGAGCGCTGCAGCTTCTCACCGTGGGCTGAGCACCGGCGCCAGCGCCAGCGGGCTTGCGGACTGCTCACGGCGTGAGTCCTCTCTGGCCCAAAGCCCCGAAGCCCCACTGTGCCCCTCTCCAGTGGAGGGTCTGGAGACAGTCTGGGGGTGTGGAGGAGGGGAGGCCGTCTCCCCCAGACTCTGCCAAATAGGGATTTTCACCCCAGTCTGTTTCTCAAGCTCAGGTAGAGCCCGGCCCGCGCCCCACGCTCCCCTCCTCTTGGTCCTTATCTTTCGAGGGCAGAATCCTGGGTGCCGGCAAACGGGGTTAGGGTACCAGGATCCAGATGTAATGTAAGATTCTGTGACTCAGGTTACCCAGGAATCCAGGCCCCTCTGGGGCCAGGAAATGAGTAAGGAGGAAAGGGGATGAAAAGCAGACGCAACCCCACTCCTAGTCACCCGAGCGGAACACGCTCCTCAACCGCAGCCAGCAGCGCCGAACGGCCTCCACACACACACATCTGCCCTGATGCGCCCCCTCTCCGCACCCCCACAGGGAAGGCGAAGAATGGCAGAGGCTCCGCAGCCTCCTGGCCCCGCTCCTCCTTCGGCCTCAAGCAGCTGCCCGCTACGCCAGGACCCTGGACGACGTGGTCCTTGACCTGGTGCGGCGACTGCGGCGCCAGCGGGGACGTGGTACTGGGTCGCCCGCCCTGGTTCGCGATGTAGCCGGAGAGTTTTACAAATTTGGACTAGAAGGTGAGTACCAAGACAGTTGCGGCAAGCTTAGGAGGTACCCCCCTCCCCCCCCCCAGGGTGTGGGGTGGAGGTGGGGTCGCCCGTGTCCTGACAGCGCCCCCTCCCGGCCAGGCATAGCAGCTGTGCTGCTGGGTTCGCGCCTGGGCTGCCTGGAGACAGAAGTGCCTCCGGACACCGAGACCTTCATCCGGGCAGTGGGGTCTGTGTTTGTGTCCACGCTGTTGACCATGGCGATGCCCAACTGGCTGCACCGCCTGGTGCCGGGACCCTGGGGCCGCCTCTGCCAAGACTGGGACCAGATGTTTGCATTTGGTGAGGCACAGACGTGAAGCGGGGATGGGAGGACGGAACGCCATCCAGGGGTAGTGAGGCCTCCCTGTACCTTCTCCCCACGCAGCCCAGAAGCACGTGGAGCGGCGAGAGGCCGAGGTAGCCATGAGGAGCCAGGGAAGGCCTGAGGAGGACATGGAATCGGGGGCGCACCTGACCCACTTCCTGTTCCAGGAAGAGTTGCCTGCCCCGTCCATCCTGGGGAATGTGACGGAGCTGCTGCTGGCCGGAGTGGACACGGTAGCGTTCTCCCTCCGTGTTGTGGCCCCACTTTCAGAGCTTAGCCTGTCCAATCTCAATCCGGCTGCAGAGGATTCACTATGGCCCTCTAGAACCGCCTGGGTTAGCACTTCCTGGGCTGCGGGCAGCTTCTCTTCTGCTCCCTAGGCTGGTTTCCGCTCTTACTGCCTCCAATGCTCTCACCTACCCTCTCAGGTGTCCAACACGCTCTCCTGGGCTTTATATGAACTCTCTCGGCACCCCGAAGTCCAGACGGCTCTCCACTCCGAGATCACAGCTGCCTTGGCGAGGGGGTCCAATGCCCACTCCTCAGCCACTGTTCTGTCCCAGCTGCCCCTGCTGAAGGCTGTCCTCAAGGAAGTGCTAAGGTGAGGGGGAAGGAGAGAAGGAGCTAGAGAAAATGCTGGGGAAGGGCTGGGAAAGCAGGTAGTCGATGGGAGCAGGGAGAAAGTGGAGAACATTGTACTCTACTCCTGGCCAAGAATGGGTTTGGAAGTTGCTGGCATGAGAGGGAGGCTAACGGCCCAGCCTCACCTTCCTGCCTCTCCTTGTGCTCTGCCACCCAGGCTGTACCCCGTAGTACCTGGAAATTCCCGTGTTCCAGATAAAGACATTCGTGTAGGTGATTACATCATCCCCAGAAATGTGAGTAGAGCCTATGGGTCCATTTTGCTAAGCCATCCCTCGCTATCTTGGCCCTGATCCCATTCTCAACTCTCCATAAGCCCTTCAAACCCTTCTCTCGGCCTGAATGCTTCTCTCTGGGATATGATGGGGCAGTGGAGAAATCATTTCAAAAGCAGCCACAGAAAATTTCCCCATCACCTACTAGAGCCTGCCTTCATCCCAGTCCATATAGTCTTTTCTCCATGTCTCTCCTTGCATTCCTGGGTCCGAATTGACAAGTCTGTGTTCCTCCCTCACCAGACGCTGGTCACTCTGTGTCACTATGCCACTTCAAGGGACCCTGCCCAGTTCCCAGAGCCAAATACTTTTCGCCCAGCGCGCTGGCTGGGGGAAGGTCCAGCCCCCCACCCATTTGCCTGTCTTCCCTTTGGCTTCGGCAAGCGCAGCTGCATGGGGAGACGCCTGGCAGAGCTTGAGCTGCAAATGGCTTTGGCCCAGGTGAGTGATCTAGACCTTCTCCAGACGAGAGAGACCCTAACCCTCTCAAGCTGTGAGCTCTTCTCCTGACAAGCATAGGAACACATTTAAGACTTAATATTTTAAATACGTCAATCTCATTACAGTCCTAGAAAGTGAGTGAGGGTATTTGGACTATCTATTTCCCTACCATAGTCCCTTATCCTGATGAACCAAGAAGTTCACTACCAACCTTGACCATTCTAACACAAATAATGCCCATGACCAAAGCAGCCCACCACTGTAGACTCCTCCCATAATGATAGCTTTCTTCCTCACTTTTCAGATCTTGACCCACTTTGAGGTACAGCCTGAACCAGGTGCTGCCCCAGTCAGACCCATGACCCGGACTGTCCTGGTACCTGAGAGGAGCATCAACCTACAGTTTGTGGACAGATAGTCCTGTGGAAGGAGGCTGTTACCACCTTTTCTCTCATCATAGGGGTTTATTAGGCACAAGACCAAGAGATGTGTATTTCCCCTGAGACCTGTCTATCTCATCACACTAGTCAGAATGATCATAGCAAAAGGTTTGAGGCAGTCCTGGCCAAGGTGTGAAGTATGCATTTGGCCTGACCCAGCAGGCCCGGAGAAAACCACAGTCCCTCTGCTGCTCAGCCCTTTTCCTGATCATATCATATGCATCCTTCAAGGGCCAACTCAGACTTTTAACTAATAATGCTGGGTGACCTGAGGAAGAATTCCACCACCGCCCTTTGGGGGCTCCACAGTGTTCATTGATGCTGCTGACTAAGCTCTTTACATGACATGAGCTAAGTAATTGTGCATCTGGTCTGCACCTGGTTGGTCTTCCTTGCATGTGAGCTCTTTGAGAGGAAGGATGAGGCCTTATTCAGTGTGTATACCCCTGCCAGGGCCTGTCCCTGGGTGACACGCAAAATCTCAGATTGAATCTGGACCATGTGGCAGAAGCGGGGAGCAGCTTACCAGGCTCTGCCTACCCCGTTCTTTCCTCACCTTGCCCCTAGAAAGGTGAGTCTGCCCTTGCCTGGTTTATGATTTTTTAAAAACGATCCTTGCCTCTCTGGTCACTATTGAGTTGGCTTGACTTAGTTCCTAGACAGAGACATCTCTGCACCTATCCTTGTATATGCCTTCTTTTTACATATTGATATTTTTAAATATTCATAGTTTTGAAATAAAAAACATTTGAATGTTCCCTCCTTGACTTTTGACTTATTTCTCTCCCACTCTCACTTCCTACAAGACCTGGAGGCAAGACCCTCACCCAAATCCCTGACCTTGGTTTCTCAGGCCCTGGGATTGACCCCATACCATGGGAGGTCTGGACACCTGGAAGAGGGGTTTGCATCACAAACCCAGACACGTTTCTGTCTGGAGTGGGAACAGCCAAGTCTGGCTCCCTGGAGGAGAGTAAGAGGGTGGTGGTGAGAAGTAATCACAGGGCTAGCTGTAAAAAAGGGCCGGAGCTAGGGATTTACAGAGATGACCACAGGTGGCTGACTCTTTGGTAGAAGTGTTTTTGGAACCTGAACTGAAGGACATCCTAGAATGGTCACTCTCACCTCTCTGGGAAAATTGCTCCAAGGTCTTTTCCTTTGGAGAAAGACAGGGATACAACCAGAGAAATGAAGTCAGACAGGATGAAAGCTCAGTGTGGGGGTGGCCAGAAGCCCTGGGGCACCAAGGCGGAAAGGGGCTGTTTCCCTGAGTCAGCACTCTCTGACCCCCCAGAGTGGGCACAGCCTCCCCTTGTGCTGTATACAGATGAACTCATCTTCCATATAAATCAATCTCTCAGCACACTCCCCACAGCTCCCTCTGAGGGTAGCCCAGGTTACCCTCCCCATGTCAGGACTTGTCCCCCTTCCTCCTGCTCCCTCTACACCCCAGTCCAATGAGCCAGATGGAGATGGAGATTTCACTTCACACTTCCTCCTCCTCCTCCCCACCACCTCAGCCCCCTGCCCGAGACATGGCTCCCTGACCACAGGAACTTCATTAGCCACCAAGCCTTCTGGGGAGTTATCTATTTATGTAAAATCTACAGAGGGGCAGGTTGTCCCTTTACTGTCCCTTCTGTCAATTCCTGTACTACACTCGATCCCCATCCCCATTCCCCTATCACTAAACTCAACCCAAACTTCAGTGACCTGATTTTTAGCCGACTTGAGCTTTGAAAGAATAAAGCCCCAATTCCTCTCAGACCCTTTCCCCTGGACTTAGTGATGCAGGCTCTGACACCCACACTCCCCATTGGGCAAGTTGGACTACTCACTTGAGGACGGCAACAGTTACTATGACCCCTTTTCTGGATAAGATTCTCTTTAAGGTGGAAAAGGGAAGGATAGGGGACAGTACTGATTGCTGGTCCCAACCCAATACTAAGACATCTAATGGTACTGAAAGGAAAAGGAATATACTGTCTCACTTGGCCTGGTTTTAGGACCTAGAGTCCAAATGGAGACAGTGTGTTTGTGTGCCTATGATCTTGGGATTATTTAAATTTCCATGTGGGCCATCACGGGGGCAGCCCAGGCTTGGCACAGGAAACCCCAACTATGTGGTACCTACCTGAACCCTATCTGCCATGATAGGCACTAGTAGTCACTCTGATTTGCTGTCTCCCATCTGACAGCTGGTCCCCACCAGCTATCCTGTGAATAGCAAATCAGTAAAGTCTGGCTCTTCTGTCTGCTCAAGTAGGGAATGTGGAAGGTTACTTCTCTGGAGAAACAATTTTCCACTGGAAAATGGGGGAGGGGGGAGCGGGATATTGCTCAGCCTCAGTTCCCTCTCCATGTTGATTCCTAGAGGTGATACACCTCCCACAGGTCCAGGTGACTTTGGTATCTATACCTCCAGGCAAGTCTGGGTGCTAGCACCATGGACAGCAGCGAAGACCCCCTTTTAGAGAGGGGTAAGAGATAACCAATACCCAGGCAAGGACATGTGACCTTTAGCAGATAAGCATTTTCCCCAAAACATCCCCAGGGAGCATATAGAGCAGACCTTCTCTGAGAGGACTAATAATAGGAAAGGCCTCTGGATCTGACTTTAGCAAAGTGTGAAGTAATTAATTTAATTGCTGATGAGTAGTTCACTTAAAAGATACCATCATTCATATAATACACAGCTCCAAGACCTCAGGAGAAAGGGCTGAGGCTTCAGGCTGATCCACATTTTAACCAGTCCTTCCCAAATTTTCTCTATAGACAACTGCCCTCTACGCTGCTATCTCCAAGCACAATACTTCCAGTTAATACCACTAGCTGAGACATACCAGGATCAGACCTGTAAGCTGGAGACTCATATCATGGAAGGATTCTGTCCATCTCACTCCAAATAAGTCCAAATTCACTTCACACCACTTCTCCGGGTGAGCACAGTACCTGAGAAGGACTAAGAATCCAAATGATCCCCAGAGCAAGGAGAGCTCCAGCCTTCCTCTGCCCCCACGTGTAGAACATTGGAGGAGCTCTCATTCTTACAAATAACCACCATCCTTCACATTTGCAATGTCTAGTTTCCCTCATATTTACATATCTATGACACTCAACACACATTTCCAAGGCTCTGTGCAATTCCAGATGAAAAACACATTTTGCAATTTGTTAACCAGCTATTATTTGAAATAAATGGACCATCATCTACAGTATAAATCATTTTATGCCATCATTGATTTTCTGTGCAATGGCATTCAACCTGTCCCTTCTTCTTCTTTTTTTAAATATATTTTTATTTATATCAGAGAGGAAGGGAGAGGAAGAGATAGAAACATCAATGATGAGAGAGAGTCATTGATCAGCTGCCTCCTGCAAGCCCCACACTGGGGATTGAGTCCGAAACCTGGGCATATGCCCTGACCGGGAATCGAACCGTGACCTTCTGGTTCATAGGTCGATGCTCAACCACTGAGCCATGCCGGCTGGGCGCAACCTGCCCCTTCTCTATCCTCATTCCAACCCTATGAGGTAGACAGGAAAACCACAGTGGAGAGATTTTTTTGTAAATCACAAACTTGGAGGTGGTAGGTCCACCCATTAGATACCTCTGAGCATTGCCATCTAGCAGCCAACATGAATTATTCACCAGCAAGTGGGAGTTACACCTCCAATTCAGAACCCACTGCTGCATTTGGGATTTGTAACCTCTGCAGAGAAAACTCCCCACACCTCCCAACCCTCCAGAGAAGCCCCAGATGAGAAAGGAGTCTCCACGTGCATATAAATGATTCTTTATGCCCTCCCCCCATGCAATGGGGGGCAGAGCAGGGGAAGTCCCCCCGCCCTCATGCAGGGAACGGGAGGTCAATGTATACTAGTCTTATTGCCAGCTGCCCTGTGGCCATGGGGTGGGGAATGGGGGGGTCTACAGCCCCTTTCTTCTGGCATTGGTTCCCCCTCACCAAGTCACCATGGTAGAGCTGAGGGGCTGGAGGCCCTAGGAGCTGAGGTAAGGACGGTTCTCTGGGGAAGAAAAACTGTTCTCCCCACTTGCCCACTGGCTGCCCCAGGATGAGTGTGGGGAATGGAATGTCATCCAAGTGACTCCACCCAGTGGGCAGAAGCCAGACAATGTCTCCAGCTTGAGGCTGCCCACAGAGATCTTCAGTGGTGGGAGCAGTGTGCCCCAAACATCTGATCCAGGTGGTACCTCCAGCAGCCATGATAGCTCATCTCTGGCCGATGCGTTGACTCAAGATCCCCGCTCCTGGAGTTCAGTTCAGACTGTGGTGACCCTCATGACAACCTCTCGGCCGGAATGGGAACTAGAACGCGCATCTGGTGGCCGAAGCTGTCCAAGGAGGTGCAGGATTGTGTAACCACAGCGCTGAGGCAAGAGCGTCCGCATGCGCTGGGCAGCCGGGGGTCGGCTGGTGGCCCCAGAGGGAGGGCCCGTCCGTGAGGTCCTGGGGCCCGGCTTCCCTGCCGTCCCTCCCCCTGCATCTCCTCCTATGTCCTTGGTCTTGTCATAATTCAGGACCTTCCACTGCTGGTTCACTGCCTGCCAGCGTTTGAAGATGCGGTAGACAGAGGAGCCTTCGTGGACAATGAGTCCTAAGCAAGAGGGATAAGATATCCAGGGTCAACTGCTGCCCAGACCTAGGCCAGAGGTGCTGAAGCAAGCATTTTCCAGAGTGAGGAGATAGGGTTGCAAAAGACCTGGAGAAGCTGGGAAGGGAGGGGCACCAAGATAGCCCTAAAGGCTCTCAATGGTAGAAAATGTGGCCATAAAGCTGAAGGAATGGGGAAGGAAAGTTAAGTGTATGAGTGCAGCGGTTCTCAACCTGTGGGTCGCGACCCCTTTGGCGGTCGTACGACCTTTTCACAGGGGTCGCCTAAGACCATCCTGCATATCAGATATTTACATTACAGTTATGAAGTAGCAATGAAAATAATTTTATGGTTGGGTCACAACATGAGGAACTGTATTTAAAGGGCCAGAAGGTTGAGAACCACTGAGTTAGAGGAAGCTGCTCCTCAGGTCAAAGGGAGAGAGGTGCCCTCACCTATGCAGACGACATCCATGAAGCCATACATGCCGTAGCAGATCTGAAATAGCAGATCCTGTCGTTGCCACTTGGCTGAAGGGCTGAGTGAGGACCAGATGAGCCAGGAGATGCTGGCGACGAGGAAGAGAGAGCCCAGAACTATGGCCGCAATCTGGACCTTCTCAATGACTGTCAGGGAGATGGCTTGCCACTGTGTGGGAGAAAGGGTTCCAAAAAGTCACAGAAAGACATGGAGGGCCAGGGGATGGTTAGCCCTGAAAAGGAGGATGCTCCAGGAGCCTTCCTGGAACCCTTCCGGCAGGATTAACACCTGTCTCTTCTGTGCCCTGATCAAACCTCGACTGTGGCACTGCTCAAGTTGTTTGAAACCATGTGTCTGTCCTAGTTTAGAAAGGCAGGATCAGGCAAGTGCTCTGAAGCCAGACCATCTAGGTTTGAATTCCAAATTCTAACTCCATCACTTCCTGGCTGAGTAACCTTGGGCAAGTTTTCAAATCTCTTTGTGCACCAATCTTTAAGATGGGGATAATAATGGTATATAACTAATAGAATTATGATGATGATTAAAAGAGTTAATACACACCAAGAGCTTGACACACAGAAAACACTACATATTTGCTATCCTCATTGATATTACTACCTTTTTCTTTTTTGTTGTCCCAGTGCAGTGCCTAGAACAGTGC